AAACCAAGCTCCACCCAACAGTCACACTTTCCCTCCTCTTCTCAAATCTTCCCCTCTTCCTTTGGGCACTACCCTTCACTCTCAAACTGTCAAGCGTGGCCTTTTGTCTGATCCCTTCATTCTCACCGCTCTCCTTTCCCTTTATGCAAGAAACCACCTCCTTCCTCATGCACACAGGGTGTTTGAAGAATTTCCTAGGTTTTGCATTGTTGCGTGCAATGCAATGCTCAATGCTTTTTCCATAAATGGGCACATGGAGGCTGCTGTGGAATTCTTTGAACGCATGCCCCAAAGGGATGTTTTCTCATGGACAACTGTTGTGAATGGTTTTGCTTTGAATGGGAATTTTGGTGCCTCAATTCGTTTTTTCGGGAAGATGATGAGTCATGAGGATGTGGTGCTTGGTTTGGTGAAGCCTAATGAGGCTACTTGTGCTAGTGTGCTCTCTTCTTGTGCCAATTTAGACGGTAAAGTGGCTCTTGATTGTGGAAAGCAAATTCATGGATATGTAGTGGTGAATGAGGCCAAGTTAGGAGTAAATGTGGAAACTTCGTTGATAAATCTTTATGGGAAGATGGGGTGCTTGAGTAATGCTGAGAAGGTTTTCAGAGTAATGGTTGTCAGAAAGGTATGCACTTGGAATGCAATGATTTCTTCGTTGGCTTGCAATGGTAGAGAGAAGGAGGCTCTGGACATGTTTGAGAAGATGAAGCTTCATGGGTTGAAACCAAGTAGCATTACTCTTGTTGCTGTTCTTACAGCATGTGCTCGTGGAAATTTTGTCAGGGAAGGATTGGAGTTATTTCGATCAATGTGGCAGGACTTTGGAATAGAACCAATAATGAAGCACTATGGATGTGTGGTTGATCTCTTGGGTAGAGCAGGGCATGTCGAAGAAGCAGCTGAGATCATAATAAATATGCCTTTTAAGCCTGATGTATCTGTTTTGGGAGCCTTTTTGGGTGCATGCAGGATTCATGGAGCTATAGAACTAGGCGAAGAAATAGGAAAAAAAATGCTTAAATTGCAGAGACAACAGGGTGGGCAATATGTGCTATTGTCGAGCATGAATGCGGAGAAGGAAAGATGGGATCATGCTGCTGATCTAAGGAGGGAAATAATGGAGGCTGGAATTCAGAAAATTCCAGCATACAGTATGGTTCATTTGACATAATTATATTTCTGTTCTCTGTCCTCTTTCAGTTATTCTTTTTTGTTTCCCTTCTTTTCTAATAGGTTACTTTTAGTCTACCTAATCTTTAGGAACCAGTTTAGTAGTTTTGGAGCTGTAACTGTGCATATCCGGGCAGCATGTTTTTACGAGTTGTAGTTTAATTGGAGACTATTTAAAGTCAATATATATTTTATTTATCTAATAAGAAATACATTATCTTCTATTTTCCATATTCATTTCCCTTTAGTTTACTGTGGATCTAGAGCCACGTTCCGAAAGGTCCTTTTCAAAACACATTCAAGTGGTCACAGATGACAATTATGTGTAGCCTTCAATTCCTTGCTTTGGTGGGCATCATTTTGATTATTGAGATATGTTGATGGAGATCTTCCTCATGTCAGTTGTTGTTAAGTTAGGGATTACTGAGCTAACTGCGGGTGCAACTGGTGCACAAGAGATTGAAGCAAAAAACTTGAAGCCAAAGGATTTAAAAGCTAAAAATTACCTCTTCACCTATTCCAAACTTATGACTTTGATTCATGTAAGAAGTGGACTTTTAAGCTAAATCAACTCCAAAAACCGACTTGTAATTGAAGGTTTCCACCATTTATATATTCTAACTGAACTTATAATATTATGGGTGGACCGGAGAATGGGTAAATGATATACCCAACAAACAAACAAATCCTTGATAGCGGGTTGGCAAATATGCCGATCAAACAACAACATTTCGTTAGTTAGATATAGACCATGACTTGATACCTTGTAAGAAGTGGACGTTAAGTCTACTCAATCTCACAAAATGGCTTGTAAGGTGAGGTTTGCTCCCACTTATATAGTCTAAATTAGCCTTATCTCTAGTTGATATGGGACTTCAAACACCCCCCCCCCATGCCAAGGTATATACACTCGAGTGTGGGATTAGACATTAATGGATGATCCGATATTGGTTTGATAGCGGGTGAAATAATATGCCCAATGACTAACAAATTTCGCTAGGATAGGCTTTAACTCAACTTTGGTACCATGTTAAGTAGACTTTAAAGCCTAAATAAACCCACAAAAACCAACTTGTAAGGTGAGGTTTGCACCCACTTATATACTATAAACTTGCCTTATCTCTAGTCGATGTGAGGTCTCCAACACATCCTTTCACACTGAGGTATATACATCTCGAGCGTGGGACTAGACACGTTAATGGGTGGTCTGACAACAGCCCAATAGCAGGTAGCACGATAGACCCAAGAAATGACAAATCTCGCTAGGATAGGCTCAAACTTATGGATCTACAAAACCGGCTTGTAAGATGAGATTTGCACCCATATGTATACTATAAATTGACCTTATCTCTAGTTAATGTGGCACTTCCAACACACCCATCTCATGCTAAGGTATATATTCTAAATTGACTTTACATCTCGAGCATGATTAAATATAATGGGTGGTCTGATAGCGGGTGGAATAATATGCCCAACAAACAATAAATATCCCCATAGCGATTGGCACAATAGGCTAAACAAATGAAAAGTCTAGCTAGGATACGCTTTAACCCATGACTCTGGATTTTAAGCCTAAGTCAACCTTACAAAATCAACTTGTAAGGTGAGGTTTGCACTCACTTATATACTACAAACATGTCTTATCTCTAATTGGTGTGGGATCTCCAACAGTGACAGAGCTATGCTTGAGACTTTCTTGCACAAGTAGACATCAAAGAAGATTTGGGATCGTTGAAGTAGTACCAAGGGAAAGCTAAAACCAAGAGGCAACAAATACAAAGTCTCAAGGCTGAACTTGATACATTGCAGATGAAACAAGAAGGATGGTGATTGCAAAAACAAAGTCAAACTTAATGGTGATAAAATTGAAGATATCACTATCATTGAGAGGGTGTTGGGATCCTTAACAAAATCAATTTTGTTCTTGCAACCATAAAGGAGTCTTATAATTTGGATGAGATTGATGGATTCATGAGCACAAGATAAAAAGGTAGGAGAATGAGAGCAAGCGTTGCAGGCTCAAATGTAGGGCTTTACAAGTTTCGTCAAATCCATATACATTGTATAAAAGTAAGGGTACGTTGAAAGAAAAAGGAAGCAGAGAAGCTAATGAGAACTAGAGTAAATGATCACGTAAGCAACAAGGGACAACCAACATAGGGAAAAGAAAAGTACATATTGAGTGTTTTGTTCGGTCTAAAGTAAGTCTCTACAAGCATAGTATAGGCAGGTAGAGTGATCTAATTATCTTGATCAAGAAGAGGAAAGAAGGAAATCTCTTTGTTAATGGTGTATCAATTTGGAGAAAAAATACCATAACTAATGGTATTTAGACATGGGTTGCAGTAATCACATGTTTTGGGGACAAAAAGCTTCATTGTGCTTGATGAATCTTTTATTGAACACAATTGAGTTTGCTGAATCATACGAAAGTTGGAGGAAGAGATAAAGCAGTGGTCAAACAAAAATTATGTCAAGTAAAACCACTTTAAATGTTTTGTATGTGCTTGATTTGAAAACTAGTTGAGCGTTGGTTAATTAGAAGAGAAGGGCTGTGAAATTGTGATGGAAAAATAGTGTGTCAAATCAAAGATGTTAAGTGGAACTAATCTACCAATAAAACTGACCGGTAACAAGACTTTCATGTTTACTTGCAAAATTTAAAGTTGAATTGCTCAGTAGCCAAGCAAGCAAATGGCATGTCTTTGGCATAACTGATATGGTCATCTAGACTTTGGAGGCTTACAACAACTTCAACAATGATTAGAGGACTTCCTAAATTTGAATTGCCTTCAGGAGTTTGTGAAGAATGCATTCGTAGTAAACAATATAGAGATGCATTTCCAAAGGGAAAAGCTTGGTTCACACAAACCTTTATGGACCAATTACTCTAATTCTAGTGAGCTCCATACTATTTAAACATTTATTGATGATTTTAGTGTAAATAATGGGTGTTATTATCTGCAAAATTAATCAGAAGCATTTGAAGCACGCAAACTTTTCAAGATACTGACAGAAAAACAACTCCATTAAGATGCTTCAATCTGACTTGAGAAGGCTAAATTCATAAATTTGTGAATAAAGTGGAATCAAGACAACTTACTGCCCTTTATACTTCTCAATAGAATGGAGTTAGCAATAGGAAGAACAAAACACGCTACTCAACATTGTGAGAAGCCTATTGAAGAAATCTTGTCTACCAAAAACATTTTGGCTAGAAGAGGTTGCAAGGAGCAATCTTTTGCTTAGCAGGAGCCCATCTAGTGACTTTAAAAGGACTCCTGAAAAAGTTTAGAGTGGCAACAAACTAGTTATTTACTATTTCAAAATTTTTGGTTGTTTGGCATATGCACACATACCATACCAAAATCGAACCAAACTAGAAGGCAAGGTGGTTAAAGCGTATTTTTCCAGATAATTGAAGAATCCAAAGGCCATTAAATTGTATAAATACTGTCACAAGCCTCAAAAAACTTTTACAAGTGGAATCACACACTTAGAAACTCAAACAAGCCTCAAAAAAAAAAAAAAAAAAAAGACTTGTTAATAGACCCAAACATAGGTTTTGAGTATTAGGTATTGAATTGGGTGGGGTGTACACATGGGTGGAGTTTTGTTTGTACCGGTGATTGTTGACCAAGACAGGAAAAGATTGAAGTGGTCCCTTAAAATTACTGAGATGTTCCTTTGATTTTCTTTGTCAATTCTTCTAACACCCTCATCATGGAAATGTTGCCAACAAAACAATCTCTTGTATTGAAGTAGGTCCATGTAAGTGGAAAAGTTTTTCAAGCTCTAATTTTAAACTTGAAATAAAAAAACTTAAAATTATATCTCCACTTACATTACTTTATCCAAAAGTTAATCAAACTTTTCTAAGTATTCAACTAAAGAACTTTCCTATTTTAAACACGTCAATTTAGCCACATGATCATCAGAGGCTCCATTATCAAACTTGGCCTACATCTTGTAAGATATGTATCTACGATTTGCGTTGGAAGTAACATGTCTTGATATAGTAACATTTCCACACAAAAAGTTTTACCTTTCATAAACAACAATAACAACCGAGCTCTATGGTGACTTAGTGTACCTTCCAGTTCAAAAAATTGTCAAGCTTTAGCAGCCAGTCCCGTGAAATTGGTTTCATAAAAAAAAGATGGAAATTGCAAATGGGTTCTGTCAAAGAATCATGGAAGATGATCTTAACAATCTGATGACCGGAGGTTGAGCCTCAATCTAGTTTCCCATACTCATGGCTGACATAGAAGAGATTAACCTTCAATACTTGTGTAATCCTTGCAACATTTTCTTAAGAATGTACCACGATTTTTTATAAAGGTTCAAACAAATCTTTAATTCTTGGTTGGTCACCATCTCCCTTAGCTAATTAATACCAATTGTTACCTTTTTTTTTCTCATGTTGGCTTCTCCACACTCACATGCCTCTAAAGTGTCCACACTCAACCACAAGATCTCCACTCACCCACACCTAACACAAAGGTCAACAACTTGCTAAAGAAATTGGCACATAGATTAAATGTCTATCCATCTGAGTGTCTATCATGATATTCTCCACCACTATCTAATCTCACAATCTTAATTTGATTTCTACAATATATATTGAAGCCTTAAAAACTTTAAAGTCATCTAAAGTTTCATTCTTAGAACAAAGTAAATATACATATATCACTAGCAATCATCTATATAAAGGTGATGAAGTATCTCAAATTATTTGTATGAATATTTTCTAATATGTTTGAACTCCTTTCAATATCTTTTTTGGACTTTTTAGTTGGCTTACCCTTAATTCAATCTACAAAAGTCTCAAAATCAACAAAATCTAAAGTATTAAGTACTCCATCATTTACTAATTGTTTAATTTTCTCAATAGAAATATTTTTCAATCTTCGATGCCACAACATAGAAGAATTCTCTTTCAAAACACAGTTTTAACCTAGTGAAAAAATGCGTAGAGTTAGAAGTAACATTGTTTTGTAAATTAACATGGTAAGACTCATTTTAGTCACTTAAAGCCATAAACTTTTATTGTCAATAAAGGTAAAACCAAAATCATGAAATTAAAACACAAACCTAAAAGTTGAAAGTGTAAAATGAAAATTAAGTTCTTACTAAAACAAGGAACATAAAAGATTTTCTCAAAACATAAAATAAAAC